AAGATTAAAAATACTCAATGAAAAGTGGAAAGGATAAGTTCTAAAGAATTAAGATTTTGAAACCAACATATAGCATGCCAGTTTTATTACGAATTCCTCTTTTAGTAAAAATATTGTTTTGATTGTCAGTTTTCTGAAACTAATACCAGGTTCTGCACCAATAAAGGAAATCTCACGTGTTTGAAACAGATTGAGAATCTTGTGTCATTTCTTTGATGTACATCTCTTGACTTTAGTCGATTGGCTTGGTAAAAGAATTATAAAATTCTTCACTTTCAATTGATGCAGGGTACTAATTGGATTTGATGTCTATTCTTCTTTTGTTTCCTTCTCCTTTTACATTTTGATGTTGAAAAGGTGTCTATATGAAAATAGACTTATTGGGAGATATGGAACTTATTTCTTGGTTTAGCCAATCTTTTGTATAGCTCATTCATCTTGCATGACTGAAGTTTGGTTGGAAAGAGTCATTTCTGCTTGAGCCAACATCTTTTCAGCTAAATAAACATCTATTGGGAACTGTAACTGTCATTCTTTCCGCTTCTTTTTCTTATTCAATTATGTGGTACTACTTTAACTTTTTTTTTTAATAATTGATGGTACTACTTTAACCTTTGGTGATATAAAATGACTTTTGTTTCTTGTTTTTTGTTATTTGCATTTGTCCCTGCAATTAGCCTAAGATACTTGATTGCAAGGGATCGTTTTACTGATCGAAAATCATTTGCATGGTATACAAGCAGGTGCACAGGACCCACCAAGTTAATTGAGTTTCACATTGTTAGATGGTAGTCATGAGTCATCTGAAAGTGGCATATTTTTATATGGGAGACCTGCAGATGGGTCTCATCAAATGGTGGGACATATTGAGACTTAAGTGTAACATATAGCTAGTACTTGATAATAACATAAGATGTAGAAGATCACCGACAGTGTTGGTAGAAATATTGATGAAGAGCAATACTACTAACGCATCATGGCATAGGAGATACTCTGCTTTTATGGCCTTGTGGAACGCATTGAATGGTGAAGAATGTGAAGTGTATTTTTTTCCCCTATATTTTATCTGTGGATAATGATAACATATGCACAAAAACCAGTAACAGTGTTGGTAGAAATATTGATAGCAATCTTAAAAAGTAAAAATAGTGATAACCCAAACCATTTTCTTAACATCTTTGTTTTCTCCCTCGTTGCAGCAACATGTCCTTTCCTCCATTTGTCCTCAGATACTGCAGTGGAAATCCATAATCCAGATCAGGGAGTAATAATTGCTTTAAGCAATGTGGGTGATAGACTTTATACCTTTAATGAAGCTTGGCACTTAATAAAGAGTTCGGGCATTCACATYACAAGACATGGGTTTTCATGAAACAGAGCCTGCATACATTATTTCTCAATTCTGCAGTTAAAGAGGTGTAGTATAACCTGGGCCTCTTGAACCATTGCAAGTGCTTAAGCAAATTGAGAAGAATAGAGCCACAGTGATGGAATAAAGCATGTCCTAAGGACAATTGACCTTGACATATTGTTCTAAGGAAGGTTTAAAGTAAATTCTGAGATTCTTGGTGTTCCACATGAAAGAATTTGGGAGAGGTCATTTGTATTGACCCCACTAATAGATCTACTAGGTTCTTCTGTAGATGGCGATATGGTTGCAAGCTAGCATTCTTTTTCAAACATACTGGGGGACTTTTTTGAAAACTTGGTGGAGGCTCCATCATTGTAAGGGAAGGATTAAGGTGGGTTTTACCAATTGGAAATCTGTCATGGGACTGGTCAGAAAAATCCATGTTACTGTTATGGGTGTTCTCAATCTGACTCCAGATGGTTTGGTGGAGGTAAGTTTCAGTCTGTAGAGTCTGCCGTTTCTCATGTCTGTTTGGTGCACAATTGACAATCCACACATCCATTTGCTTCTAGGATTTCAGAAGAAGAACTAGATTGAATTATATCTGTTCTAGAAACACCTGAAGTAGAGAGAAAGCTCTTATCCATTGATACTTGTTAGTTATTACTTAGAAGTTGCATCTGAAGCAGTCAGCATAGGGGCTCATCTTATTAATGATATATCAGGTGGGCAGTTAGACCTTTACATTCTTAAGGTTGTTGCAGTACTTGTTGGTGATCCTTATGTCAGTGACTTAAAAGGCATGCCTAGGCGCACAGATGCAACTTCAAAAGGCGCCTCGCCCAGGCCCTAGGCGTATCCCTTTCAAAAGGTGCACGCCTGGTGTGCCTGATGCGCCTTGCGCCTCAGCCCAGGCATGTGCCTTTTTAAAATTTTATGCTTTTTGCCTTTTTTTGAGTCTAACGGCTGGGCCGGGGGTGGATCCCCAACCACACCCCTCAAAAACGCCTTATTTGCTAATGATGTTCGTTCATTCATTCCAATAAAATATCTTCTTGAAAGGCAATTAAAGTTATAAAATCATTATTTTTCATGTGAAAAATAAGAATTTTGAACCCTAACATAGACTTGTTCGGGCTTGCCTCAAGGGGCATGGTACAAAGGCGACTCATAGAATCAAGAATGCAATATGTTTTACATCACTTTAGCTACTTGAAGCAATGCAATTAAGGAAAAAAAGAGATTGTGGGTTTTACATGCTTGAAAATGCTTTATATGTTTGCTTTTATTTTTAAATTTTCATTTGAATACGCTTTACATGTTATGTTTATGTATTTTAATTTTAGATAATTGGTTTTTTAAAACATTTATTTTAAAATTTATGTTTATATTTTTATTAACATTATGTCTAATATTTTTTGACTTTTTGCATTTTGTTTTGAATTTTCTGACTTTTTTTTTATTTTTTAGCTTTTTTTTTTGTAGTTTTGCGCCTTTCTTAAAAAGGCGCGCACCTCGCCTTGCACCTCAGGTGCAAACTGGCCTTTGTGCTTTTAAAACACTGCCTTATATTGTAATGCATATGGGAAGGGATCTATGTGCTATGCAGAATTATGAAAATCTACAAAATGAAAACCTTTTTTAAGCAGATTGCTTCCGAGTTATATCTGTGGGCTAGAGAAGCAGGTTTGTCAGGTGTGACAGCTTGAAGGATTATTATTGACCCTGGAATTGGATTCTAAGACAAAACTGAACACAAATTGGATTTCTCGTAGGTTTGCCAATAGCTAGGCTATCTAGCTTGCACCATCTCCATTGGACAACCAACAAATTATCCTTGGGATCATACTTACATGGAGGGGTAAGTAACCAGGCCAATCCAGTCTACTTGAGGGGGACCTTCTAGATTGGTGCCATGGCAGAGAGCTCTGTTGTCCTAAGACTGCACAATGGATGGAGAATTAGAGAGAAGCACATGGACTCATCCTGATTCCTAGGCAGCAACCCAGGTTTACATGCCTCAAAATTGTACAACTCAAACTTCTCATGCCTGTTGGGAGAAACTGCACACCCAGAAGCATATAGTAAGAAGAATGCATCAGTTTTGATTTGTTAAAGGTAATGCCAATCACCATGGATTAAGGGGTCCAGGTCTGCTTGTGAATCCATAAACTTGAGCCTAAGGGGTATTGGGGTATTAAGGGCTCTACAAAGAAAAAAGCCAAATAGGAAGGTTTTAGTAAATATTCAACAAAGTAGGGAAAGTTTTAATAATTTCCAAATAATTGAGGAAAGGTTCCCAATGCACGGAAATGTTCCCAATGCTTTAATAATTGTTAGATAAGGGAGGTTTTAGTGTGTCTATATATATATATATATATATATATATATTGATGAGTGGGAGGTTTTAGTAAATATTCAGCCATGCATTGGGAACATCTTCCCGTGAAATACAAGTACAAAGATGTTCCAAATGCATGGTTGCAAGTGTTGTGAGGACAAAATCCGATCTTGAATTGGGGAACAAGTCCATACCCATGGTGACATGCCAAGATAGATCTCATTTCATGCAAAGCAAGCAAGGAAAAAAAAGCTGGCCTAATGGAAATAAATAGCTACAGATCTGAAGGTCCTCCAAACATCTAACCAACCTATGATAGTATAGTTGGAAGGCCATGGATATTTGGAGTCACAGTGGTGAATTGAAAGACCTTAATGCCATAGACACACATGGAATTCAAATTCTTATACTCCCAAGTTTTCAGGAGCCAAAATAACCTTTAGAGAAAGTTGAATTTCAGAGTTCAGGTACAGTGACACTACTCACCAACCATGAGATGTGTATGCATCAATAAAATATAAAAGATAAGTATCACTCTAGTAATGCAACTAACAACTCCTGAATAAAACAACATTATGGAGGATGGATCCATGGGTGAAGAGTGCCAAGGTCAAGACTAACACTGGGGTAACAGATTGAAATCTCCCATCCCATGAAGTTTAAAACTGCCCCTCTTCACATAACTTGTTAAGAATAACAGAAAAACATCCACTGAAGGAAATAAATCTCTGTTTCACTGGAAATTTCAATGTTAAGGCCTGGAGGGCCTGGAAATATCATTTCTAGTGCCTCCATCCACAGTCAGAGCATTTATTACCAATACCACTGGACGTAATTTAGAGGAAAAGAAAAACCAAATAGTTGAGAAGCTCTTGCTGAAATGGAAGTATGCAAGGAAACCTCATAATAACCAAAAAATGCAAATCAAGTCAAATAATTTGGAAGGCTATATGATTGCAATATTGCATCACTAAGCAGTAGTGGCACAAAACCAAAATATGAAATAGATCTTTTGAGAATAACAGAGATGCACTCTTGATACAGCTTTTAGTATCACTGCCAATTTTAGACATGCCATACGTTTTGGTATACAATAAAAATGGCCAATTTAAGACATTTAACAAAACACGAGTTGGAGGACAAGGGATCCAACAAGAAAACATGGAAACTGTGCATATAGTTTGCAGTAAAATTTATCCCTTTATAATGTTATAAATATAAAGTCAGAAAGATAATTAAACACTAGAATAAGTGGTCTTCATCAGTTATTGGCTGAGAAGTTGCAGAATGCATATCGAAGAAAAGAAGTTATGAGGCAACAGAATCCATCTGAAATAATTATAAGTTACCAATGTAATCAGAATTAAAGAAAAACAACAAGAAGTGCAAACAGAAAAGTAAATGAAGGACCACTGAAACAACTTGGTCCATCTGCTACAGTCATGTATGGCTCTCACCTCAAACAGATAATCTAGTTCTAATCAGAAAGCCCTACGCATCATTCGCTTGGGCTTCTTCACAAAACTCAGCCTAAGTTTTCTAAGACGCCTTCTCTTCCTTGCCATCTTCTCTGGCAATGTCTCCCTCTTGGGCTTCTCACTCCTCTTGACCTTAGGCTTCTTCTTAGCAAATCTTGGGTCCAACTTATACACTTTGGGTGTCATAGGTAACCCTCTCTTTGTGGCTTCTCTGTAGAGAGCATTCGCTCTATCCACCTGACCATGTGCACACAATTTCTCCATCAACAGGTCATAAGTCTTGATCCCAGGTTGACAACCATCCTTCTTCATCCTTGCAAATACCTTCATAGCATGCTCAACCCGTTCTATCCCACACAATATCTTTAGGAAACCATAATAAGCCTTCTTATCGAGAGCATCCCCAAATCCTGCAGATTTCATGCGGTCAATCATCTCATCCCCCTCGCCTATTCTGGCAGCCTGATAAACACTTCTCGTTAGGACAAGAAAGGTAGTAGAATCAGGGTAACACCCCCATTCTCCCATTCTCTCAAACAGCTTAAGAGCGTCCTCAGTCTTACGGATCTTGCACAAATTGGAGATAAGAACATTGAAAGTCTCGACATTGCGGGGCACCCCTGCAACGTCCATATCCATGAGAATCTTCTCTGCTTCGGACTGGAGACTGAAAGGATCTTTGCGCCTACAAAGCTTGCATACACAGTCAAGAATCGAATTGTAAGCCATTACACCAAGCTCGAAACCTCCACGATACATCTCCCCTGCCAATCTCCTCGCCTCATCGAGCTTCCCATCGCTACACCATCCTTTGATGAGCAAATCACAGATAGACTCATCAGGGAAGAACTCGTGAGCCAGATTCTTCACCATCTTCTCCGCACTACCAGCATAGCCGTGCTCACAGAGAGCAGATACAACCATTTTAAGCGACTCGCGATCACGTACAAAATTGTAATCCTTTTCCATCTTTTCGAAAAAAGCAACCGCCTGCGTATCTCTCCCTGCTCTAACGAGGCGATCAATCGACGAAGCCAGAGTCTTACGACCAGTAACGCCACGGCCATCGACGAGAACGTCGTGAATGGCCTTGAAGTCCTTTCTACGGCCCAAGTAATCCACGAGGTAAGAGAAAGTCTCGTCGTCGTGCTTGAAACCCGGCTGAGATGACACCCACTGATGAAAATCTAGGACCGAACGGCCTGCGTCGGGGGATCGATTGAGGACCTGAAGTATCAGTTCAGGAGTTGGACGAATATGAGAGAAGTGGAGATGGAGCCGCTGTTTCAATGAGATGGATTCTGCATTGGCATCTTTGAGAAGCTCCTCCGAGATTGATTGAGCGATCTGTTCTAGGTTTTGAACGTCCTTGCCTCGGAAACGCGGGCGAGATGAGAAGGCCCTCGAAGAAGGAAACAAGGGATGCGATGGAGGAGTTGATGGATGGCGATGGTATTGCAGAGAAGAAAAGGAAGACTGTACAAGCACAGGAGAAGGAGGAAGAGAATGAGAGAGATCATGGGCTTTGACCGAAGAACATAAGCCGCGAAGAAATTGTCGAAGTTGCAAGGTCGCCGATGGCGACGGTGGTCTCCTCCACATCTTCCAAAAAGCTGGAATTAGAGAGAGAGAGAGAGAGAGAATGCTAAAGGCTGTTTCAGGCTTTCAGCGATTCGAGCCGGAGATGCTCCGGCAGCACAAGGCTGTGGTGGCTTTGTTAAACCCTACACCTACTGGGCCTTGTGTCTCTCTCTACCTGCAATTTCGTGAGACTCGGACCGGAGATCGAGCCACTGGTGCTGGTGGTTCATGGTTCATCTGTACGGTTTATTATTGGTTGAACCGAGTCATCGATATCCTACAAAATAGCAATCCCGCAACTCCCGTCCTGGCGGTCCGGGCAGTTTTATACGAGTTCGGCTTCAGTGAGGGCAAACTCTGTTCCGGCAGCTTTTACTGCCTTGCATTGAGAATATCTTTATACTTACATACTTTATTTCGAGATATTTCCAATATAAGGTTGGAAAAATCTGTTAGAATGGTGTGGGCATGAATTTGCCCTGACTGAAGCCAGTCTTGTTTTATATATATATTACCTATAAAAGAGTAAATGCAATATATGTCTTTTGCTCTCACTTTGTCCTTTACTCCTACTTCAGAAACTACCCACTCATAATCGTTCAAAAATTGTCCATAGATTATAAATAGTTTTGTCTTAAAGATATTATCATGTGCAAATGCACGTACACGCTTACTATATATATATTGAAAAACTAGTGATGAAAATTTCTACCTACTTGATGAGTAGCTTCCCCGATGGAGTGTTTTCTTTTTCTTTTTCTTTGAATGATGGGTTTTGGGGCAAGAACGGGTTCTGGGATTCTACAACCCATATGGGTATGCATAGGGTACGATATTAGGTTAAAATTGACTCTCTCCGACCCACATATTGTTAGAAAACATATAAACTTTGTGTTTAGGTGTTGAATTTAATGATGCTTTGAATTTTATGTGAAATATAATTGATAGTTTATGTGCTTTTTACATGTCTTAATCAAATAATTAGAAATTTTGTTGTTTGTTTATCTTATTTTACTTATTTATTGTTTATATATAACAATAAATATAGGAAATTAGAAATGAGTTCTAAATCCAACCCACCCTATCCTTAAATGCAAAGAGGGTAGGGTCATGGAGGGTTTTTCATATGCGGGGAGGATTTGTGTTCTCAAAATCTAACCCGTTACAGGTTTTGGAATGGGTACGTGTTGAGAGGTTTAGGGAGGCGGAAAGTGTCTATAATTTACAAACCCTTCCCCCTTGTTGCCATCCCGAAGCAACTACACAAAACAGGGGGTAGCATGTCCCCAAAAGTGATCAAAACAAATAAACAACAAGAAAGGGGGAGGAGATACCAATTGATGGTGGCTCAGTTGGTAGGTTCTCTGACTCGTTAAAGTAGAGACCTGGGATCAAATTCCGCTGCTACCAGGGTGAGGGTGGGGGTG